AGTGGAAATAGTTGATATGATTCAATTGAGTAAATTCAACACTTGATTTTTTTAGAGCACATAAACATTTCCTTTCATGAGTTCAGACAGATTTAATTTATAAGTAACTAGGTGTTAAACTTTAAAGTAAAGAAGTAAAAGTATRATTTTTAGGTTTCAAAAGTAACTAAGTAAAATTAAAAGTCACGATTTACAAAAAATACTTGGTAAAATTACAAATCCTCCAAGAAATTACTTAAGTACTTTTACAAAGTAAATGTACTTAGTTACTATAAACCTCTGTCCTTTGTGACCTAGATGGGGTTTGCCAGATTGGGTCATGCCGGGGCCGGCACCACATAAACCAAACTGGGCCAGCTGTGCTCCATTATAAAAACAGTGCCATCATTGCCAGGCCTGGCCCACATCTGGTTGACCAGCCACTGGCCCTGCCAGCAGTGCCAGCCTGACACCAGAACCATAGGTTTGGATCGCTTTGTGAAAGATCTGTGGAGAAAAGAAAATCAACCTTTATTCTGATGTGACTGATGTGCTAAAGACCAGTCCATGTGTGGCCAAAATGAAAGTAGGTTGCAGCCGTCCTGAACGACTCCAATCTTAAAACTTGGTTAATTTAAAAAGAAAAAATAGTTTACAAAACTTTTCCTTCAGTCAGTTTAGAATCCTGTTATATGAACTGATAGGTCTGTTTTGAAGCTCTTTCAGCCAGTGAGGTGTATGAGTTAGAGGCACTATGGAGACTTCTTGGTATGAGAGAGCGGCCATATTGTTCAGGGCGAGGACAGCTGAACACAGTGCTGACAGTTGTTAAAGCTGAAAGTGGTAACATGATGTGTTAAAGTCAGGASCCACGTTGGGGTCCTGAAAACATTTTCTGAATTACACTAAAAAATGACAACCAACATTTTTTCCCTTTGTTGTTACAAAATAAGATTAGTGTACTTAAAATGGACAAAAAATAACAAAATAAATAACATTACTATGCTCTTGTTTATTTGACGTGAAAACAAGGTTTATCAATAGCTGGGGGCACAGGTCTCTGCTGGGTCAAAAGCTGCGATGATTACAGTGGCAGCAGCAGCTAGTTGTAGCACTTCCTTCTGGAATACAGTTTGACTTTGCAAACTATAAGTAAAGTACCAGTAAATACTGCTAATATCTTCCTAAAAGAATTGCCAGGAATGTTAAACGTGGTTCGGTAAAGTTTTGATTACGTTGTGTTTCCTGAGTGTGTCACAAAGTGTCCATGTTCTCTGTTTCCTGTCACACCACCAGATCATTTTCATTTGAATCCATGTTGAAGGTGAACTTTGACATACTTTTTCTCAGGATGATGAATATTTATTTTACATAAATGTAATGATAAAAACTGGACAGAGCTTGAGCTTTGTGTGAAGTTGCAGATTTTTCTTTCTCCAGACCTTCAGACTGATGGAAACATCCCATCACTGCGTCTCCAGGATGTACCTGCAGTTTCTGTTTGTTTTGGGGACATCTGTCTGGATAATTTGCTCGTGTTGACGTGTAAACACGTCCGATTTGTCTGTTGTTCCAACAACACTGAGGACGAGCCGTTTCACACGGTTTCTGCAGCTCCCGGCTGCTGCTGAGCTCTGACAGATGAAACGTTTTCCATCAGCATTAAGCAGCTCTAAGCAGCAGAGCTGATGGATTTGCTCGTTTTTCAGGGTTTTTCTGTTTGTGACTGAGCGTCCTTTAGTAAGAAGTCATCACTCGTTGTTTTGTGTCTGACAAACAGCAGCTTCTGTCCTCAATGAATAATGTTGGCGCCACCTCAGAAGTGTGTGTTCAGGATAAAACACACTCATTGGGTCAGAGCACAGATAACTTGAATAATAAAAGTTGTTTCTTTACAACAATGATATTCTGGAAGATTCAACCTATTTACGTAGCGCAGCAGTGACCCCAAGAAGCAAATCTGTGTAAAAACTGAGCAACATGTGCTTGGCTGGAATCATGAAGTCATTTTAAGCATTTGTCACCAGATTATAGACTTGATGTTCCCTCCACTGCAAAAACTGTCCATCTAAACAAGTTTTAAACTCTTATATCAGCCAAAAAGTCTTTTTGATCTTGTTTTGAGACTGATTTACTAAACAAGAACTGATTGTGTAAGAGTAATCGTCTTGTTTCCAGAATGTGTAAGATTATTTGTCTGGTTAGTCTGAAGATTTGACTCAAATTAAGTCAAAAAATTTCTGTCAATGGAGTGAGAAAATTTTACTTGGTAAGATTCTTGAAATATTTTCTTACTCCATTGATATATACAGGCAAGTCAATCCTTTAACTTTTGCATGAAAAGCTGGATTTGTTGACTTAAAAAAACAGGTCAGAGAAGAAGAGTCTGTCATCGAATGGGTTGCCGGTTCAACTCCCCGGGCAGACGGCAAAAAAAATAGGTGGGAAACCCTTATATGGCCGACTCCAAATGAGGATTATCAGTCTGGGTCTCTGCTGCTGCCACCGAGACCTGATCCCGGACAAGAGGAAGAAAACGGATGGACGGACTTTTATTTTGTTACATTTCAAAGCTAAAAATGATACTTTTACTTCTTTACTTTAAAATGTAACACCTAGTTACTTGTTCAAAATTAAACATGTTCAAACTAATCATGAAAGATGTTTCCACACTCTAAACAATGGAGTGTTTTATTTACTCAAACTCATGTCAACTGGCTCCACTAAGCCTAGTTGAGTAAATTGCGTAAATAATACACATATTCTGCTCAATTTACTCAACCTGGTTTAGTGGAACCAGTTTGGTTCAGTAAATTCAACAGTTTATTTCTTGAGTGTGTAAAAGTACTTTTACTTTCCCAAATTTTCTGAACAGTTTTAAGACTTTTACTCAAGTAGTTTTCTCATCAGTGGCATTTATTTTTACCAAAGCCAAGTTGGAGCATCTTGAGTTCTGCAGCAGATCCAGGACCTGCTGGTCCTCTTGTGTTT